AAAATGGTAGAAAAGAATGAATAATATCCCGTATCAGAAAGAATGATAGACTGACAAATGTCGGACGCCCCTCGGGGGGCATCTGTGCCGGAACATCCTGGAATGATCCTTTAAATTACACAGAGTTAGATTCTACTGCTCATTGGCAGGGGCAGTGAGGCTGTGGGTCAGAAGGATGGGTAGAAACTCTTAGGACACAGGTGGCTGTCCCCCAAGCCTGGTCTCCAAGCAGTGACACGGAGCTTCTGAGGGATCACAATTGTTGGGAGCGGGGTGGTGAGAGTACAGAAGAGATTGCAAAGCCCCAACTAGGAAAACATATTCTCAAAGCCCTCACATCATTCTGTGATGTCCTAAAATGCTAGCTCTGCTTAGGCAGGAAATCTGTATGTAAGAACCGTTGTTGTGCAAATAGACATTGTTGTGGCACCAGTAATACAATTTCTATGTTCCTGCTTTCTTCTTCCTGGTGTATGGATACATTAAAGAGACAAGATAAAATTTTTAGAAGATTCCTTAGAGGACTATCAATTGTATAAAAATTATCACCTGTGCATTTTAAGTCTCTACCATGGTGTTTCCATTATAATATCAGAGGAACAGTTACACTATAGTATATATATTATAATATCAGAGGAACAGTTACACTGGATGGATTTTGTTGTTGTTCTTCATTGTGACTTTTTGCATTGAAATAAAGCCAAGATTGCAGAGAAGTTTCCTGGATAGTACAAGGAACGCATGGGCTCCAACCAGGTTGACCCGTCTCTGCCATCTCCCACCTTGGTTTCCCTTCCCTCTTTCTAGAAAATATCTCTGGTGGGATTTAAAACCGGTACAAAATCTAGAACCCACGATTGTGTTTGCTTCGTTTTTCTTTCCCTCTTAATTTTAAATGTGGCATCTTGTGAAAATAAGCAGCACCATCCACCATGTACCATCCAATATCCACGGAGGGGAGCGGCAGTGGGTATAAATTCGTGAGCAGTCGGAGGTTCACATGTGCTAACTCAGTCTCCAGAGAATTCAAGGGCCGTGTGGCATCAAGGAGGAACTGGGTGGTGCCTGGACACAGGCAGCCAGTGCTGGCCTGCTGCACAGGGGGTCGGCCGTGCTGGGTGGGACCAGCTGTGCCGTCAGGGAAGGCCACTTGGCAGAGTGCATTTGGTGCCACGTTTTACCCCAACAGCTGAAGATCTTAGAGGCCACTTCTCCTTGGATCAAATCACGGGCCTTGCAGCATCCCCTTGGAGTTCTGCTGAGGCTTGGTGGTGAAGCCACGCGGTGGTGTAAGTGCTGGACAGTTCCACCGAGCCTCAGCCCTTCTTTGTTCTGCCCTGAGAGCTGCTGCTCCTGGGGCTTTCCTTCCCTTTCCCTAACAGACTCAGCTGTGTGGCGGGCTCACTCCACTGCCAGCTCGAGTTCAGTGACTGCATGTGAGCCTGTACCTTTCTAGAGAAAACACCTTCATCTAAATTTGAGCAACTTCCCACAAGATTAGTAATTTTGAGGCTGTGAAAGTGGCTCTTGATTCCTGCTGTGACTTTGATATTCATCTGTACTGGCACTGGTTTGAGACCACTGTCCCTGGAGTGTGAGGCTGGACTCTGCATCTGTCCATCCTACCTGTGGTCCCCGGGACCATGACTCTGTTGCACACTCATTTTTCTTATTAGTAAAAAGTAATGGAAAATTGGAAGTGGAGAGAGAAGTAAGGTTTACAAAATGCTTAGAAGAGTATTAGACCCTACTATGTCCTTATAAAAGTGTTCAACATGTGTTCGTGTTTGTTTTGTAAAAGCTGTACCCCCTTGTCTTTCAGAAATTTTGGTTCTAAGCTAATTCTTAAGCAAGTGGAATTTTCTTCTTAACAGGCAGGGACTTTACAGCGTCCTGTGTTTAATCCTTGCCAGCGTCACAGGATTTAGCTCACACTTCCATGTGTATATGCAAAGAATAGGCACATTCTTTATTTTGCTGATGGTCTTTGTCTTATTCTTGAGTTCTTCACTCATGGAACAGAGGGCAAACCAGCCAAGATCCAGTCTGTGCTTGTAATGAGTTAAGTGTGCTTGTATAAGTTGGCTTCTCTGAACAAAGTCCTTTTCTTTTTTTAGCTTTTTGCTTATTTTAAAAAATTTTTATTTTTATTAGTAATACATGTGTGCAGTACATGTTCACATTCACTTTGCTGAGTTGGTACATGTGCATAACGTCTTCATTATTTTTACTTTCCCTTCCCTTCCTTCCCTTCTCTCTCCATTTCCTAGATGCTTCCCATCTGCAAAAGATCTGTCTTCCTGTTTCCTCTTCTCTTTTATTTTGCCCTCTGTTTATGCGTTGGGCTTCCCAGGGAAGAGGAGCCAGGTGATGTCTGTGCTCGTGTGCAGAGCCCTCCTCAGGGGAAGACAGAGCGCTCTGGCCTCACTCCCTGGTGCCCAGGCTGAGCCAGGCTGGAAGGGGAGGGTGTGGCTGTGCCCTGCACCTGCGGCAGGAAGGACATCTGGTCGTGCGCGTAGTGATTGCTCATCCTTGGACTGTGTCCCTCAGGCACTGCATGGCTATTCCAGCAGTGGCTGGGCTGTCCTGACTGGCTCTGAGAGCCAATGGTTGAAATGTCAGGAATTTTATAAATCACCTGTGAAGCAACTAAATCATGCTTATGTGAACTGGAGTAGTAATCCCAACCAAGGGCTGGGAGGCGTGATAAACACACTCTACAAGGTGTCCTGTGTGTGTTCCTCAACTGTCCGTGGTTTTACTGATAGAAAGCTGAGGCATTATGTCTGCAGCTTTCCTGGGGTAGACAAGCATCTATCTAACACAAACCAAAACATAGAAATTACTAGTCCCTACCATGTGTAAGTCACTGTCCGCATCCATTGTGGACTCCAACAGCATCTCATTAATATTTTAACACAGTACGCAGTCTCTCACAGTAGATCTGTAGTGAGAGCATCCTTGGGCAAGTGCCTTGTGGCACTTAAAGATGTTATAACAGTATAAAGATGTTAGGGTGCACTATACTAACCAGATGTTAGATGCAGAATACAGCACTATAAAGATGTTAGATCCAGATGAATAATTTCATCTGCTAAAAGAATTCATGTTGGAGTAGAGTGCTGTCTCCCTTCCTTGGAAACCATTGGCAGATGTGCACGGAAGGTTCTGCTGTCTTATGTGGGAATTTGGATGTTCTAAGCCCCAGCACATGAAGGAAGAGGAAGCACATTCACTGCCTGGGTCTGCCTGGGGAGAGGCAGAGATGGAGCAGGGTGTGCAAGGGCGTCTTCTTACCCCGCAGCAGCAGAAAGGTCCTTGGACTTTGTGCAGATGGGGGCAGGTCTGGAGAGGGGAAGCGGAAGTTAAAGAAGCCCAAGATGCGTCCATATATACAGTACACCTTCATGAAGATATTCATTATGTATCACAAACATACTGATTAAAAATACTTTTAGAAAGGAGAGTAATGGAACACAAGGGAGGCGAGGCCTACGGGCTCCTTGTCCCTCCCCACGATGGCAGAGACAACCTCATGACCTTGTGACTATACCTCGGGATGGCACATGACAGTCTGTCCTGCAAGTTTGCCGCCTTTGGGAAGTTTTCCATAGCAAACCACCAAATGCGTTAAGTCTTGGTCATGAGAACAAATCCTTGGCTGAAGAAAGAGCATGGCAGGAGAAAGCCATCTGGGGAGGAGCAGGAATAGGCCTGATTGTGTTCAGGAACCCCCTTCTAGCAGAGGACTGGGCGGCAGGCTATGTGACCGGGAGGCCAGGACAAGCTTTCTGTGGGTCAGTGAACAGGACATGCCGTGGGAGATTTGGACAAAGTGTGCTATGATTTGAGGAAAGACTTCAGGGAGGGCGCTCTGGGCTGGGCGGGGTGGCAGCTGTCCCAGCAGGTCACCCCAGAGGCAGATGCGCTTCCTGGTAGTGCAGCATCGAGGAGGCAGGCCAAGCTGAAGAGGGGCTGCTACTGGGTTAGAGTGGGGAGAGAGGCTAAGAGTCCAGTCCCTGGGAGGTTGAAAGAGTTGGGATGAATAGAAAAGAAGGTACTTTCCAAGGACATCTCGGGTCATGGAGGAGTTTAACGGACAGACAGTACGCTTCACTGAGGTTTAACTTTGACTCTGAGCCATTTTGTGTAGTTTGTTATAATGAAATATAAGAGTAATGTTGCTTTCATCAGACCTTTAGGAAAATACGTTAATGGCATTTTATGAAGACTGCATTCTGCTGTTAACGTTGGAAACCTGTAGAGTGCCTTGGGAACCCGAGGGACCTTTCTGGAGGGCTCCTCATGCAGCTCGCCGTGAAGGAGCAGAGAACATTCTGTTACATGGCCCCTCTCTTACTGCCCCGTGGCATCACTGCGCTAATGAATTCTCCTTTGCTGTTCACATGGAAACCCAGGGCATCTTTCAACAGAGGGTTGCTTCTCGTAATTGCTGTGTGTTTTGATCTCTGTGACATTCCTGTTTGGATATGTGTGCATTTGTCCCACCATGCTTTGTGAGAATGGTTGAATCCTTGCCAAAGGCTAATGGCACAAATGGAAATTTAATGCACAAAATGTCAACTTTATTGTTTTAAGCCAGCAGGGCCTAATGAATTTGAAAAACAAAAATTCAGCGACCTAATGCCCACACAAGCTGGGTCCAGTAATTTGTCTTCATTCATTTATTTATTTTTGGTCTGCACAAGATGCACAAACTTGACATTTCAAAATGAAAAACTGTAAAAGCTGTGTTCCTTTTCTCATTCATGTGCATGGGTGCACCAGGTAATTATACTGCAAACCAAGGAATATGCTTGAATGTGCAGAAAAACGCTAGCTTTTCTAAATGCATGAACTCAGATTGGAGGGTGATGAGTCCTTTTCCTCTGGCTTCCATGGCTGTTCGTGTTTTATGGATTAATGCAATGCTGCCTCGCTTTGAGTGTGGAGGAGACCAGCTCCAAGCCGTTATTCTCTCTCTCTCTCTGTTTTTTCAGTGCTCCGGCTCCTGCAGGAAGGCGCAGACCCACACACTTTGGTGTCCTCCGGAGGGTCCTTACTCCATCTGGTAAGTACTGTGATGATCGACACAGACCTGTGGTGACACCTGGGGGAGGGGCATAAGTGAAGGGCTCAAAACCCAGTCACAAGGCATACACTCCATAGATGATGACGATTCTAATTAGCAGGTGAAGATAGAGAGCTACCCTTACTGTCAACTACAGTGGAGTTTGTAAATAATCTCTAACCACTGCCATCGGAGCCTCTTTGCAAGGAAATGCTTCTGCAATTGAACAGCGTTCAGGGAATAAGTTCGATAATAATGCATCCGTTACACAGCAGTAGGCAGGCACCACCCCCTTCCTTAGCGGCCACAACTTGTCCTTATTGCTCTACTAAAATTGACTGCTCACAGTGGGGCCTGTGTAAGTGTGAATAAAAATGACCTCGTAGTCTCTTGGCAATGAAGTGAGCATGGATTAAGTATAAACATAAGTGCATAAATAAATATTTTTATGAGTTTTATGTGTGTGAAACTTGCTGGTTTAGTTAAACATTAAGTGAAAGGGGAAGTTAAGAATTATTTGACTTTTAGTGGTCTTTAGGACCTATTTGAATATATTAACTTAATTTTGGAAAATAACAAAATAGCATTAGAAAAAACTCCCTTTTAACGTTTTCTACCGAGGTAAAACATAATGCTGTGTTTCATCTCACCGTAACAAGCTATGACAGAGCTCATGCACGCTTCAAGTGGGAGCTCATCAGTGTTGAGTGAATGTTTAACGTCACTGTAGCCTGGAATCATAGGGGTATGGGGTTGGGAAAATGCTATCATCTGACTCTCAACCTGTCCACACCTCCACCTCTAGGATCCTGACTTCATTTCTGGGATGAAGCTTGGCAATGAGAGTTTTCAGGTATCTCCAGGTGATTCTTATTTATGGCCACCACAGGAAAAAAAATGCTTAAAAGAGAAATGGGTGTGTGCAGAAAGCTTGGTGAATCTGGACCGCAAGGAATGATGGTACAGTCAGCAGAACAAAACGACATGGAACGTTGGTCGGAGATGCTCCGCAGGAGCGGAAGTTCCGAGAGTGAGACCCAGGGAGGGCGCTGGAGGAGGAGCGTGAGCTCAGTGCTTAGGTCTCCTTGTCCTGGGGTAACTGAGTAAATAGAAACAAGTGAAAAATTGCAGGTTGCCAGAGAGACCAAATTGCAGGGTTTCTGAATGCCTGGGGTGTTGAGGAAGGCAATTTAGCCATCTCAGATGTCACCAGGAGCAGCCTTGCTGTGTCCCACCTTGAGGGGGCTGCGTGGGCGGCTGATGCCAGAACACACTGGCGGTAATTACATGTTGTCGCCACAGTCGGTGTCACCAAGCGGAAGGCAGCATATGTGTGCGTGGGGCTGCAGAAAAGGCCGCCGAAAATGTTAAGATTTTGCAGAGCTGTTTGTTTAGCTCAGTTATTATTCATGGAGTTCTCTGTGCAGATTTCTGTAAGACTTTTCTCCTAGAAGCGCCAGAAAAACCTTTTTTTTTTTTTATTTTCCCCTAATTTTTATTGTTTTAATGTTGGGAATTAAAAAATCATGCAGGATTTAAAGTTGATATTTGGGGAAACAGGTTTTAGCATTTTGGGTCATGCAAATCATTATCTCATTTTTAATACATTTTCTACCAGTACACTGGACTCAATTTATTTACCTACCGCTTGTTAAATAAGTAGTACATCAAAGTACCTGATCAGTGTCAAGTTCTGTGTAACAGACCAAAGGAAGATAGTAAAAAGTAACACTGCATCCCAGGAGCTGAATCTCAGGGACAGTAGAGAAGACACCTCAGGTTTTAGCATTTGTGAGAAATGGTCTCTAAGGAATAGGGAACAGAACTGCATAGATTTTGCTAAGATGTCCAGGATTTTGCATTATTGCAGTCAGTCAATGTGTGATCACTAAAGAACTCCCAATGCAGTGAATGGCTGGTGACTTACAGAGCCCTATAATTTTGCACAGAAATAAGCTCAGGCCCCAGACAAGCTAAAGCAAAATACTTTAGAAATAAAAACTACTTTCACTGAGTGAATTCTAGTTTTAATATAAGGATAGGTATTTCAGTAGAATTGTTCTAGTTGCTTAAAGTATTGAGCTACAGTACATATGAAAAATGCCCATGATGTGTTGGTACATGGCCAAGAAAAAATAGAAGGAAGAAAAGTGCACATAGTATAATGAGACAGATAATAAAGATAAACAGACAGATACATGCTAAACAAGGAAAATACCTTGAAGGCTAGACAAGAATTTTTGAAAGTGACTCAAGTTGGGAAAAGAAAATAATGTCTTTTAATTTTTGCTGTTTCCTTTTACACGTTGCTTGAACACTTCAAATGGCAAGCATGTGTGCTTCATATAATAAAAAAAATACAAAAATAACTAGGACTATGTTTTAATTAGATGTTTGGATTTAAGGGCTTCAGTGTCTTTGCCATTTTTATAAGAGACTTGGTGAGCTGCTCTCGGGGCTTCACTGAATTTCTGTACAGAGGTTCTGTAAGAAGCACAGATAGCAGCAGCTGATTCTGACTGCCGTAGAGGCAGTCCAGTGGTTTAGCATCCTCAAAACCGAGCAGCATAAAGTGTGCTTTGCCTTGCTGCTCCAGAAGGAAGACGCTAAAATGTGCAAGGGTGAGTTCTAGCAAGACCATTCACAGCAGAGAACGGTGCCCCCCCCAGGGCAGTTCCTGTAGGCTTTTCTGGGGGCTAGAGTGTGGGGGTTCCCACACAGGAAGGCGAGCATGAAGCAGCAGGACAAGGAAGGGCCAGAGGGGTGAGAGTGGTGACGTCACTGAGAGAGGGGGATGGCTCTGTGTTTGTAGCAATGGTGACTGCAGAGTGCTCCAACAGGACGAGAATGGTACGCACGGTGACAAGGGGACTCCTCGCATTTCCCAGCGATGTGATTTTAAGGTCCACGCTTCTGAGTGGGGTTTATACTTTACAATCCAGCATCCCTTTGGTCTATGAGAACCATGGCATCCACAGCCATAAAGTTCAGGGTTTCAGATCATTAGTTTGGCATCTCACTGAAAGTCAGACAAGAACCACAACTGTGAGCAGCACTGTGGGTCCACTTTTACCCTGAGCACCTGAGTGGGTGACTCGGGAACAAAAGGACAGAGCCGAGCAAATGCTCTGAAGGCTTCCAAAGGGTGCAGGGGCTTAGCGTCTATCTTTGAGTGAGGACACCAACAGGGGCTGATTCATTCAACAGGAAATGATTTCAAAGGCCTTTGTGGAGTTACCAGCCAGATGATTTTTGTTTGTTTGTTTGTTTTGCTTTGCTTTTGTTTTATTTTTACATCTCTGCAACAAGGGAACCTTATTTGTTTAAAATCAGAACTCTTTCCTGACAAGGTGAAGGCAGATAGGCAAGGCACTTTGCATAGACTTCTCGAAGAATTCTGTCCCCTTGCCAGAAAATGTGGAGTGTACAAGTTTGGAAAGCGTGGCACAGGGGATGGTCTGGGAGAAGCCATTCCTCTGCACTACGAAAGGTTCTCCCCAGTGTCGGCCTGCAGCTCACCCACTCAGCTGGGCCGTCCTTCCACAGCCCCAAGAACTTGGCAGAACTCTCTAAAGATACCCAGCTGCTTGTAACACCACAAATGCTATTTCTGCTCCTCCTCATTACTCTGCATTCTGTGTCCTGCTGGTGGGTGCTCCCTGAACTTCCCTGCCTCTGCTCCCTGCTTCCATTCACTGGCTCCCCTGACCCCCTTGAATGACGGCAGTGGATTCAGAAGTGACACCTGGCTCTTCACCGACTAACATGGGTTCTTAGCTGCACAGAAGAGGGAAGTCAGACATGGGCTGGTTTGTGAGGCTGCAGACAACCATTAGTGTTGCCCATCTTCTCTTCCAGGGCTTCCAAGTTGTTACCAAGGGCAGAGGGCCCTTGGTTAAATATAAATCATGAATTGGCAAAGTGTAGCTCTTTTGTTGTCAGCATCTCCAGGCTTTAAATACAAGTGGCGCTTAGCCCTTAGTGTTGCAGTTTGGAGCTTTGATTGCCAGTACCCTTCAGCTCTTAGTCTTCCACCTCCTGGAGGCTCCCACCTGCCATCAGCTCTTCAGCAGCTGGGGCTTGTATTCTCTTGACAGCTGTCAGCAGCTTCTGCTGCCTGTGTGGGGCTTTTTCATTGGTCACTGGGGATCTCCCCAGGTTTCTACAGATCTTTTAAGGGTTCTGTAGATCTTCACCACTCTTGACCTCTCCGTTTCCTGGCAACCCCTCCTGGATCATCGCGATGAGTCTGAGAGAACACTGTTTATAGGAGGAGTGACTGCATGTGCAGATTCCTGCATTTGCAGACTGATTTGGTGACTTTCACAATGGTGGCACAGACCTCAAGGTCATCTGGAGGTTACAGGGCTGAGGCATGTGAAGTGGCTGCAGGGCAGTTATTGGGATAGGTCAGTTCTTCAAGCCTGCTGTGCCAAGGCAGTTGTTTCCCAGAATGGCTGTAGGTGTTGAGGACACGTTGCCTCAGTCATCATGGTGACGGGAGCTGAACTTGGGGGGAAGTGGCTCCTTGATTGCCAGCTCCCATAGCTAGACGGGAAGCCAGAGCGCAGAAAGAGGTCCAGGTCACTCTTACAGCAACTCAGTATCACAGGAACTGTGTCTTTCTAGGGTAGTCACACGCAATTTGCAGGGAAGAAAACCAGTGCCACAGATGCTGGGAGAGAGAGGGTTTACATTTATGTAAAAGGATAACGGTTTTATTAGGATTTCAAAATTTCAGGATGAGTGTAAGTAAGAAGTATATTGGAACCTTTTTAGTGATACCTTGGTTCATTGTTGGAATCTGGCTCCATCAGCTAGAATGTAGGTAGAAATAACAGATATAGTCAACTCAGAGCATTGTGAATAGTTTATCCATGGTAAGAGAGTCTGGGGAATAATACTTGCTAGGAACAAGACTTGGGAGAAGCATGTTTAAGATGATATCTTAGTTACTTTTCTCTGGTAGCTGAGACAAAATTCCCAACACTCAAGTTAAAGGAGAAAAGGTTTATTTAGATCACAGTTTGTAGACGTTTCAGTCCATAGTTGTCTGGCTCAAAGGCAGAGTGGCATGGTGAGGGGCAACAGTTCATGGTGGTGGAAGACAGCAAAAGCAACAAGATAGAACCAGAGAGAGAGGAGAGAAGCCTCTTTCTGTTCCTTACACCGTATGCAGGCTAACCGCCCCAGGGCAGGCATAGCACCCACACCCTTAATCCAGGCATTGGGCCAAGAATCAGTCACAGAATCTAGATTCAGCTCCCTCTGAAAAGTCTCCCCCCCCCCCATGACCACATGAGGCTTTGGGGGGACATCTAAACACAAACCAGAACAGATGATGTAGCAGTGATTTTATATTTAGTTACTTTTGAAAACTTCAATTTTATTTACTTTTTTACTTTTTGATTGAAAGATACGTATTTATGAGGCAATTCCTGTATACCTTGGGTAGTAATGATACCTTTTTATAGTAAGTGTGTGCCACTTCCTTTCTCTTAGTTTGAGATACATAGTGAATTATTGCTAATTATGTTCACCATGCTGTGTCATGGAACACCAAAAGACATTGCTCCTAACAAGCAATAACACGGTGCTCCTTTACAGCCCCAGCTTCCTTCTCCCCAGTCTGCTAAGCACTTTTCCACTCTCAACTTGAGAGTGGAAAACAGCAAGTTTTCAAGATTGAAAACAGCAAGTTTTCAAGATTCCACTTAAGGGGTTGAGAATATGGCTCAGTGGTACAGTGCCTACCTGGTAAGCACAAGGTCTAACTTCTATTTCTGATTACCTGTCTTGGTTACTTTTCTCTCATTGCTGGGACAAAATACCCAGCACTCAAAATTAAGGAAG